CAAATTTGATGAGCCTTTTGCTCTTTTTAGTTGTCGTTGTCTCTTGTTTAGAACTGCGAACTTTTAAAGGGATAATATTCAAGCTCAAAAGCTGGTGCTGCAGAGAGTAATTATTTGTACCTGTTTGGAAGATCACAAATGTACTGAGGGCGACGCAACAAGCGCAGCAGACCATGAGCTCTCCATTACGTTTTTTTCTCGATCTCGTATCTTCGAGCACAACTCTCCCGGGATTGACAAGAGGGAGGCTCGAGTCTTACTCAGGGCCAAAGCGAGGCTGGGCGAGGAAACACGCGATCCGCACCACGTATAACATCTCATGCGACCAGGCCTGGAACGATATTTTTCCCTTTTCAGGTTCAAATTTTTCAAAGTGGTTTGTGGAATGGGCAGAAGCGGGATTTCGTTCCAAACTTGGGAATCTAGTTTCACCTGAATTTTTTGGGTTCAGTAAACGTTCTAAGTAAAAGTACGAGTACAGTATCAACCTGACAAAACTCATTCTTGAAAAAATTCTTCACACCCCGCAAAAGTCAAATCATCTCATTCCTTAAACTGTCAAAATAACAATAAGAAAGTACCGTAACGTGGTCAAATGGAAGCGAGCAACTGGCAGTTACTGATCTGTTCAAGCAACATTTAGATCGTTGAGAAATTAAATAACAGAACGGTCTCTCCCTTCTCCTTCTTTCCCGCGTCGCGAGCGACCTCAATGGACCATCTGAGAATCAGGCTACACTAATTTCGTACTATTATCAGTTCTTTTCTTCTTTACTATGAAACATAAAATTTACAGGGGAAATGTCACTGGTCTGCACGTGATCAGTAGTAAGAGTTGCCTTGTTCCTGTGCGGCTTTTTCCGAGGCCTTCACGGTCAATTGATTTCGGTAACGTATCCGAGACGACCGGCCGAGAGCGCTCTTTTCGCCTCGGACCACGTGACCCGAAAACGATTGACCGAGGAGAATATCAAGACCTAGGAACAAGGCTATAGTAAGAGTACATTTTTGAGATAATTCATTGGGATGTCTGAATAGGTTTTTGTTCACTTATTTATTTATTTCCGTTATTTACATTATATTGGCAGGAGAAACAGGATAAAAAAGTACCGCATCTAAAAAAACGTTACGTATTAGTGAATGTACAAAATGGAAAATAAAATGCACATAGCCAACTTTAAGGCACTTTATAAAGTTAAAAAAAAATTCTCATACTGTACAAGGAATCCTTTCTAAATGGCGACATATTTAAAGCTGTCAAACTTTGAAAACAGAGTTACAAGTATCCCACCCAAACACGGCTTTGCTAGCATTTCTTTCCTTCCACTCAGCTAATATTTTAGACCATTATTTCAAGTTAGGTTCGATTTCTAGGCTAGCTTTTCACTTTAAAAAAATTTAAAATTCCAGTATATTCGAAAAACCCTTAAAACCAAAAAATTCGCCTTTTCAGACTAGTAATTCTTGATGCATTTTTTTTTTCATCAAGAGCAAAAATAACCGCAGTGCCATAACAACCTTGAAAATCAGCCCTCGCCTCAGGCAGCACTGTCAAGTTAATTATTAAAAATTAATTATTAAATAACTTACTAACGTCAATTTTAAATTCTACGGGAGTGTAACGAGTGATGTACTGAGGTGGATTGTCGGGGGAGGGGAGGGGGGGGGAAGACTCCCATATGAAAAAGGTCGGGGATGCTCGTGGTCTCTGTTAGGGGTGAAAATCAAGGATTCTGGTCTCACTTAGGGTGTTCATGACAAAACGCCTCTATTGTTAGCTGTCAAAGTATCTTTTAGGGTGCACTCGAAGAAACAATAGTAAAAAACACTTTTAATTCCGTTTTTAGGTTCGATTTCCGCCGGTCTCTTGAGTCCGGTGTACTAGCGCGAGCTCCTTTCCTGATCAGCGGCTGGTAGTTTAAGTGATATCTTTTAGGGGTCAAATCACGCTTGAGCCACGCCCAGATTGATCTCCTTTAGGGGTTTAATTCAAATTTTCTAACGAGCATCCCCGACCTTTTCATATGGAGTCCCTCCCCTCGCCCTGGGATGCCACGAATTGTCATTGATTTTCACTGGAGTAAAATTAATTAGAGAAAATGTATGCAATTTGATTGAACACCTTCCACGAGCACAGGTTTTCCATATCTACTCAGCTTTTGGCCAAACGTTCCCAGCCCGCTCTGGGTAATGTGTATGGTATGGCTAATACGAGTGAGGAAAATTTCGATGTTGAACTTGGAATTTGGCGGAAGTCGCCCATCGTCTTCCGGAAGTTGGTCCATCAACTGGCGGGAGGAAGAGACAGTCGTTCCCATGGTGACAGCCAAGCTGTTTTAGTTTGTTATCTGGTGACTCTGTTGAATCGCAGTGAACTGAGTTCCTTCACAATGGCGGCTTTCTCTGCCTCTAAGCTTCCAACGTGATGGCGAAGTTCCTCGAGCTGAGAAAGAAAAAAGCAGCAGTTAGAAAATGAAGGGGTTAACATGGTTGCCAAGGCATCGCTTTTCAAAATTTCGACTTTTCCCCGATGAAAGTAAAATTTCCCTGACTAAATAAATATAAAATGTTAGGTGTAGTAGTGGCTTCTAGCCTCCACTCACAGCCGTCCTCATTCATTAAGACTGATAAGTTTTCAATACATTTTCCTTCTTCATTAAGGAAAAACATAGTTTCGAGTGGGATACCCTGCGCGTCGGAGAAACAACAACAACAACAAAACCCAGTCCACATGTAGTGTGATTGACGACGCCAGGCGCTAGTCTCAGAATCATTCCCAGCCCCAGAAAAGGATGAAGAGGGCGGCTGGGAACCCAAGCTATTCCTTCCTTACCTCGTTGCAAAATCCATTTTCTTCCTTCTTTGGGCTTCCCAAGCTTGCTTCCGACTTGCTTAATAACCTGTTACCAGGGGACCTGAAAAGCAGAAAAAAATAAAACGTTACAAAGTTTTTTATTGAACTGTCCTTCTGCTGGAGAAAGAGCAAGTAAAAACTAGAATTTTCACGCCATTTGTTAACGTACAGCTACCAGGTCCACGTTGTTTGGACGTGCAATAGAGAGTAGATACATGTTGACTAGCTAACCCCTCGCATCCTTCAGATGTTTGAAATTCGACTCTTCTATTTATGGCTTGCCAAAGACAAATTTGTACTGGCAGTACCTTTCAGGGAGAACTGGCGTCTTCTCTTTTGAGTTCATGTAAATTTGACCATCATTCTTTACAACGCTATTCGTTGGGTCCAGGCCTTCCAACCAGCTTTTCACTTTACGAGGTGGAGACGAAAAACTCTCATCGTCACCGACAGCAGCTTTGCTGTTTTCCAATTCAGTCGAACTGTGCCACGATTTGCTTTTCAGGCCGCGTTCGCTAGGATCCTTAACTTGTTCCTTCTCTGGTGAATTCTCGGCAGATGAATAACTATGCAAAGACAGTGAACCAGTCAGCTGGTCGTTTTCCTGCTTAAAATTCACATATTTCTTTTCCAAGTTCCTTTTCTCACGGTGGACATCTTTCAGTATCTTCTCAAGCTCGCGAATCTCTCGCCAGATCATCCGCTTGTTGCTCTTCCACGGTTCGTTTTTCTCCCCTCGTTTATCAAGGTGATACTCCAACTCGTTCTGCGCAATTTCCAAACTGGATTTTAACAATTTGTTCTCTCGTCTCAACGCATCCGTCTCTTCTTGGTAGCTAGACAACTTCACTCTGTCTGACGAAATCTGTCGCTGTGCTTCGTGCAGCTCTAGCAGCACATTGCTGTGGTCGTCTTGGGCCTTAACAATCGCCTTCTCGAGTTCGTCCTTTTTGTCTTCCATGCATTGAATCATGGCTTGATCCGCTTGTGCTGCAGCTCTTAGCGCTTTGTTCTGTCGCTCAGATTCCTCGAGGCGTAACTGCAGCATTTCAAACTCCTGGTTGGCAACAAATCTCTCTCTTTCGTCTTCCCTCTCTTCCGCCCGGCTCTCACGCGATTCGCTATCGCCAGCTGCAAGATGGTCCTCTAAATTCTTGTTTCTGTTCTCCAGCTCAAAACACGCTCTCTGCAACTGAAGATTCTCGTCTTGTAAATCCTTGATTTCGTTATTGTACTCGACACGTAAGTTCACGATGCTTTTCTCAAGGGACTCCACTCTTTCCGAGAGAAACTCACTCTCACCATTCTTCCTTTCATACTCATTTCTGATTGTCGACATTCCGTCGTCGAGATTATCAAACTTTTCTTTCAGGTCATAATATCTCTTCTCGTAATCTTTCAACAATTCAAGCTGTTGATGAAGCTCAAAGTTTTCGCAAGCCACTGAGTCGAGCTCGTTCCTCATGCACTCTAGTATCTGATTTTCCTCTTCGCTCATTTCTTCATCTTGCGACACTAGTGCCTCGTATTTCTTCAACACTTCATCGGAAGCGATTTGAGCGATCGTTTCCTGAAGTTTTTCTTGGAATTTTAGTGGAATTTCTTCCAAGGGGGTACCCTCGTATGCTCGCTCCAACTTCACTTTCAGCGTTTCCAAGGTATCTACTTTAGCCTGCTCCACCTGCAGTTTGAACTTCAAAGCTGTTTGTTCAATTGAGTTCAAGTACATCATAAAAGGATCGTCCGAATCCCCTTCTGATTTCTCGTCGCCTTCCTTTCCATAAAGTGCAGTTTCAAACCTGTAAAGTCCGTCTCCCGGACTAGAGAGACCCTTCGCAAAAGAATGCTCATTTCCAGATAATCTCGCCATCCTAGATGGCGAATCTAGTGTCGCCCAAGTCACTGTTGTTTTCGGCGAAGATTCAGTACTCTGTTGTCCCGTTTCATTTAACACAGTTCCGGGCTCTTTGTGTGAAGCATGGACGGGTGAGATTGAAATATCCAAAGGATGGTCTGAAGCGCTTGACTTGTCACCAAAAACAGTATCAAGGCCAAGAAATTGAACTTTCTTGTTGGGCGTTGAGGCTGCCGACTCTATCGCATCAGAAACAGGCTCGTTGCCATCTTTAACAAGCATTGCTTCATCGCTTGGCGATGTTGGTCCAACGTTTGTCAACAATGGTCCACTTGCAACATGCATCGGTGTAACCTTTGCCGATGAATCCTCTGCAACCTGCATCGCTTCGCTGTTCCTCACAGCTGGTTCTTCTGCAATATGCACCGTTCCATCGCTTTCCAACGTTGGCTTCGCACTTGCCACCGAGGTTTCCTCAGGAACATGATTTGGCGGACCGTTTCCCAAAGTTAATTCCTCTGTAACGTGCATAGGCTCGGCAATGGCTGCCAGCGATGTTATCTCTTGATCTTCCATATCGGCATCATCATTCATTTTTCTCAATTCAGTACTTTCGTCATTTTTCAACGACTCTTCTGTATCTTTTGTTTCTTCTGTAACCGCAACAGACGAAGGTACACCAACATTTACAGCTCGTACTGAATCATTCAAATCTACGTCTGTCCCATCTGTGTTAAGCCACGTTTTTGCCGTTGTTAGTTCAGGAGGCATGAATCCTTTTTGTACAGCATCTAACATAAGCTCCAAAAATTGTTTGTCGACACTTGTGTAAAGTTCTTCAGAGCCACCAGACTCGGGGGGTTGGAGAAAAAGCTCGTCGCCATTCACCGCCAGGAAATTGTCATTGTGATCCGTCGGAATAACCTCAATGGGAAAGCTTTCCTTTGTTTTGCTGGAAACAGCGTCCGACGTGGTGGGCGAGGAGATTCCCTCTGCGAGGGTGGGCGCCATGTTCTTTAATAACAGGCCTTCCGGAAGTTTCTAAAATAAAAACATGAAATTTCTGGTAAAAAAAAAGACGTCAATGTAGAAAAAAAAATTTTACTGAGTAACTTGGGATCGTTTGGTAAAAGGGAGAAAAAGTTATCACTTTTTTCACTTATTTAAATCTTTGTGTCACCTCGATATTTTCACTTTTGCCTTGAAAATGATGTTCGATACATCGAAACGTCGGAAAACTGTAATTTTAATATTTCTATTAGTGTGAATTTTCGTTACTTTTTTGGTTTTACTTTTTATTGGTTTACTGTTTTACTTCGACGCAGAGCTTATGATCAAAACGTCAACCCAGTCTCTACGGCGGTTAATCTATTTTTATCAACTTCACGTTGACGCACATTGCTTTCTTGTCTTTAAGGCTCTTTAGTAAGGCCCCGTCAAATCACAGGTCATTTTGACTACATCGTTGTCGAAAAGCGCCGTTTTCAAAATGTTTTCCGTGTACTCAAAAACGAAAAGCCGGCGTTTTCAAATTCCTCCGGTTTGAAGAGCGGTTCCGAAAAGCTCCGTTTTCGTGACGGAGTAGTGTGGACGGTAGGCCTAACCGTAGAAACGAAGCTACGTTTTCAAATTCCTCTGGTGCAGTGTGGACGCCGGGGACCTAAGTTTGGTGTGGCACGAAGAAATGTCTTATTTCCTTCCGGTTCAAAATCGTTTTACGTCCAATTTAAATCACTTAAATATGTAAATAAAAAGAGACCGGACTTTCTACGAAGGTTTCAAAGCGGCTAGACAATTCTGAGAGAGTTCAACAAGAGTACACCATCAAATACTTCAGATCAACGGAGAGAATTTAGAACAAAACGAGTGTATTGAAAATGGTCATACGGTTGTTTCAAGGAAGAATTGAAGAAAAAGACCAAGAACATAAAGAATACATTATCAGATAAGCTCACGTAAAATCCAAACGGATATTCAATTAACTATTACGTGGCACAATACTGCTCTCAATAAAGCGTGCTCTAATTCCCACTAATCTTTATAGCTTGTTTACCGTCACAATTTTTTCAAATTACAGTTTTACATTTTAAGTTCACTCAGAAACTAATTTGACATGAAAAATGTATTTCAGGCCCGTTTATCTGTACAGCGACTGCAATATACGTGAGGGAAAAAGGTACCGTTTGTTAATTGTGCCACGTAAACTTAAAAACTACATTTGAAGACTGAAAAGTTTCATTCAAAGCTAATTGCGACAGTAGAAACTAAACAAGCTGCAATATTTCCACGAATTGTTTCAAGCAATGGCTTGGGTTAAAAGCATCTTTTATCTTAGCACGAAAGTTTTTTGCCCACTGAACTTGTTACCTGAATGAACCACATTTTAACCCAAATCCTTTAAAGGCAAGAACTACCATTGCGGTTTCATTATTTAAATGCGGGGTCGACAGTTCATGAGCAGTCAGCACCGCAGTTATTTTCACGTGCATTCGAACACGTATCGGGTAGAAACTTCTGCCTTAATGAATCGAAAGTACATCGAATCAAAAATTAAATAACGTTTGAACACAATGGTTAAATCGAAGAACGTTATAAATGTTAAAAGAACTGGAGACACTGAATATTCCACTAGCAGTTCATACATGGCAAAAGGAATTAAAGTTAACTAGACCGGCAATTATTTCTGATTATCAGTATCGTTTGCTGAAATGTAAGAAAGTATTTTAATAGAAAGAATTTACAAATATGACAAGTCAGATATGCATACCTTCTGTAGCTTTGGAGTTGACGCCAGTTGCCTTACGGATTGAATGCGTTCTTGTAAAGCCTTCGTGAAGGAAACAGAATATACTTAGAAATCCCATTGCATGGGGGCTAAGTTAAATACTGGACACACTTCACACTTATATTAGGTTATATTGGTAGCCAAAAGTACACTTGTTTAAGAACTCAAATCAAGTTGATATGGGGTTACAACTGTTCAAAGTCATGATATAATTCGTGCCAGCAGTTTAAGCGAAACGAATGTGTGTTAATTAATGGATTCACAAAGTGAGTGTTTAGCGAAAGACTCTTTTGCAAAAGACCTTCTATTTTTACGACAAACTCACGGAGGAATACATCTCAATCACCATGTTCGAAAATTCGATTTTAACACTGTCGCGTGAATAGCTAAGCGGCATTAAATGCAAAGGCAAATATAATCTTTTTTGCAGCTCCAAATGTCAATATTAGTTAGAGGAAGCCACACGAATGAAATCCTACACTTGCAGAGCAAATACGCAATTACAAATTACATGAACTAATCCACAGTCTGGAATGTACACCTACATTTAGCCATCGCGCATTTTCGAAACTGACTGAAACCATTTCAAAGCTAAATCATAAATCGACAAATCTGAGTAGAACTCGATCTTATTAATGGGGGCATTGAAATGCGGCTAACTTTCCAAAGCAGGTTTGCCAAAAAGTGATAAATTTAGCCAAGTTCATTCATTGCCTACCTGGGATTTGCAAAATTCACAGCACGAGGAAAAAGGAAACCATGAATCCAATAATGCGGACTAAACACACCACAAAATAATATTTTCACTTGCGACGTGACGCACAAACAGTGAAGAATGGCTGGTGTACAAATGTATTGAAATCGGAACGGTTTACCAGCCAAGCGATTCAAAGAAAGAACAAAGGCAAGCTTTACCCATTCAAATGCAATGGTACGATAAGAATTTTGCAAACTGGCAGCCAAAACATGACTTAAAACGCAAAGTAAAATGCACAAAGAAAAGTTAACACTTAATGTTCAAACTGGGCGAAACTGAGTTTCTAACTAGACATTGAGAGCTTCCGTGTAAATATTTTGTCTAAGAATGAACTAAAACAGCAAGAAGTATGTGTAAACAAAAGTCCGAGGATTGCGCAAGTGTTTTGCATACGATTTCTAGAAATAACTGTAGCTTGCGGGAATGAATTTGTCTTATTAGTGGTAGTTATTGGACTAAGCGCGTGACAACAGAATAACTCGTGCGTGGCAAGTAGATAACTATAACGTGACAACACTAGCACGGGTCCACCAAGTCATTTCACGTTGTTGTTTTGTAGAGGACGGCTAAGAAATGTACTAAGATTTAAAACACAGGTGCACAGATGTTGTTTAGATCATTAGACCTTTTGTTTGGTGAAGTTCTCCTGGTTGTCGCCCGTCGCTAAAATAAGGACGTTAACAGCTGTCTAAGAAATAACAAACTATTTGAAATTATCAATTCTAAGTTCTACTGAAACGTCCATTAAACAAGATTTGCTGTGTTAAACGTCAAACTCTAGGGGATGTTTCAAGCAAAAATGTTTTAAAAAACGAAAGTACCAAAAAAGAACACAAAGTTTCTTTTTTTAGTTCGTGAACAAAATGACCTTGTCTGTTTGTTCAGTGAAAAGGACCATGAAATTGATCTTTAGATTGTGATCGTGTACATACCCTCTGGCTATATTTTGTAAAACAAAACCTTATTCATACTCAGTAGTGCGCCATGCATTCATAAATTGCAAAATCATTTGTGAACACGCCTGTTAATACACTTATATCGTAATATCACAATCAGCGCCCCCTCTCAAAACATCACCGCCCTTTCAAGAACTCTTCTCCTGAAGTGTGGTCATATTGTAATAAGGGCAACTGTTTTGAAACGTGCCACTTTTCCAATAGACCCTTTTCATAAATGGCTTTCTAAATTATTTTCTAAATGTTAGTATTGATATAAGTCTTCCTAAACTCGTTTTTGAGTTGATAATTCAAAAGAATTTTAACTCTCAAACGAGTTTAGTGAGACTCATTAAAATGTGTAAAGAGGAATTTTAAATTTGTAGCCATTCATGGAAAGGGTCTATTTAACAATTAGATTATTCGCTCTCGATTTCTATGAGATGATAGTTGATTCGGCCTTCGGCCTCATCAACTATCACCTCATAGAAATCGAGAGCGAATAATCTAATTGTTTTAGTAGACTTCTAACTTAAATTAACGCAAATAACGGTTTCCAATTATTTTTCTATGCGTTATTGAACTTCACGCTTTAACAAAATCGCACGTATTGAATTGTCCTTAGTAAATTTGCAGTTGTTTATGCACGCGCACCCCGTTTTTTTTTTGAAGTTTTTAATGTCAAGAAACCGTTTATTCCTTCTTTCAGTCTTCTCAAGAATTTAACGATCCATTTACGTCTAAGCTTTCCTCCAAAACTTCGGAAAAACGATAAAAATGTCTCACTTCGTGGACGACCGACAGCTTCTACACTCTAATTAAACAATAGAGTGTTTCTGTCGAGGAACTATCGGCTGATAGTTGCCCCGCGGAAATTTGATGTTCTTAAAACAAATATGCTAGTTTTAAGAACATCAAATTTCCAAGGGACAACTATCAGACCGATAGTTCCGAGACATAAACACTCTAATTGTCTTTATCGTTCACCACTAAATTTTCTTCCGCGCGCCAGTTCAAAATTCATATTGAATTATTTTCAACTTTTTTAGATGAAAGCCGTGAAAGGCCGTTAAAGCCAAATGTAAAATGTGAAAAAGAAAACAGACAAAAACCCACTTACTACATTTCAACTGTAGAACCCTACTAAAATTAAATAGCACCGCTATTCTAATAAGCGCTACCTATTTTTAGCACCCTTTGTGACGATTGTTGCGATAAAAAAATATACCAGAATGTAGTACAATGTTGTTTGATCCAGGTCCCCTCGGGCGTGCTATTTAATCTGTGGCGATTAAGTGGTCATTTGAACACTGTTAGTCGCAACTGGTTCGCTCAACTTTTTCTGAAGATATCTCAACGAACGCAGCGACAGTAAACCTGCCTTAACAGGAATGGACCTTTAGCATAACCTCAAGCATAACCAAGGGTATTTTTGACAAGGTCACGTGATAGGGTATAATAAATAGCATCATGTATTAAGCTACACACAACTCACTTGGATTGCCGCGTGAGACTTTGTGTGTTGATCAACAAGATTCCTCAATGACGTAGGTGATACTATGTAAATTCAAAACAAGAGAAGACAAGATCGTTACCATACAGAATAGTGTTGTCCCACAGGTACCTCAAGCTCATTACGTGAACTCCGTTGTGCGATATTGGAGATCACGTAAGCTTAAATGTAAGAGTTTGTGTGGGAATGTAACAAGAGGAAAGCAGTGAAGCTAAAAGTCGCTGGAATCGCTTTAACACGGCCTAAACTCCTCAGCAATATACGAAACACACAAAGGAAGAGAAGGAAAGCGTTTGCTGCTTCTTTTTCCGTATTTCTAGCCGCTGAAACAATACGTTCGTTACATTCCCACACAAACTCTTTCATTTACGTTGTTCCGTAATGTCTTATAACAACGCTCCCGCATGCGCAATGAGGCTTGGGATACTTGTGGTTGTCCCTTGCTGATTTGTTACAGCCTCCTACTGTTATTAGGGAGTTTCAGTAACCACGACGGCAACGCCGAAGACAACGTCGATTAGAAAATAAATTTATATTTTACCCACGAATCTGGTGATACTCTTAAGTCATGCCATTTACTTTGTTTATTACTGTCTATACTTTCCCAAAACTAAATCTGCAACACAGCGGTAAATTTAAAATAGAAATTAATAAACTTAGCCGTCGTGGTTCACGTTCTCTAGACAACGCAGACTTTGGTCATTTCACGTTGTTGTTTTGCAAAGGACGGCAAAGAAATGTACCAAGAATTACAACGCACGTGTAAAACAGTTGTTCTGTTCCCGTTGTGGTTTTCTTAATCTCCCTATTAGCATCGAACATACGGCTAGTACTGTTTTTGTTGCTTTTTGGCTGGTTTGATCGTTTAGAAAAAGGTTTAGTTAAAAACATGTAATTGTGTTGTTTTTGCAAATTTTCAACACACAAAATTATGTTCTTTTCAAAATCTCAGTCTCGGGTTTATTCTTAAAATATTTTTGAAATTTCGCAAACTTCCGCCTCAATATTCTTATAAAATATATTCTTTTAACAAAAAAGAGTGTAGTGGCGCTTATAAAACAAGCTAAATTTGCAACTGTCTAGATCTGTTAGGTGCGCCAATTGCTCTAAAAAAGTGCTTAAGCTAAATATGCAACGACGGTGTTCAATTCCAAATGGAAATACGAAAAATTAGGCCCAGTTCAGACGCCGAACTTTTCATGAGCCGAACTTAATTCGAATTTGGACCGACCCAAATTATCAAAAGCACACCTGTTGATTCAGACGTCGAACTTAATTCGCCGAACTTTATTTAGTTTAAACCAAAACACATCGAAATGTCAGCGATTTTCAAGCAAAGTAAAAACTGCTTGCAAAATACGTTATAATAAGTTATGCATTAGGTTCGGCTCATGAAAAGTTCGACGTCTGAATCAAAGCCGTTCTAAAGCCGAAATTCCCGGCTGAGCTAGGCGGGAAGAACGGCTGGGCCGTTCCAAATTCAAATAGCCGTTCTTAACAGATTAAGACGCCGAACTTTTCATGTACTTAATTCAATATATTTGGTTCGGCTCATGAAAAGTTCGGCGTCTGAACTGGGCCTTAGCCGTCGTGGTCCACGTTCCGTAGACGACGCAGAACTTGGTGATTTAACGTTGGCTGTTTTGCAGAGGACGGCAAAGAAATGTACAAAGATTTATAACGTACGCGAACAGCTACTGTTTTGCTCATTAAACCTTCTGTTTAGTGATGTTCTCGTTGCCGTCGTCGTCGTGGTGGTTTGCTTGAGCTTCCTATTATTACGGTAAGTGAACGACTACATGTATTCGTTAATATGTTCAGACAAGTTCTGAGTACTTACACGATGCGTCAGCCAGCGAAGTCTTGTTGTGTGGATATTTGCTTGGAGAGTAATTTTGTAAACTGTCTGAGTGGGTTCTCGGTTTGGACGGAGAAGGCTCTGTTTTTACACCTCCTTTGATAGGTTCTTCACCTTTCACTTTACAGATCTAAGGAATTAAAATTATGCAAGAGTTACGCAAGGTCACACTAGAGAAGCTACAAACGACCAGGGCTAATTTGTGAATCAACTAATAAGACTACGACTTATACAGAACTAAACCTAGAAGTTCAATTTAGTCTATATTTAGCATAACAAAATTATTACTGTAAACATGAGATAGAAAATTATATGTGTTAGGAATTTTAAAAAGCCACCGAATCTGGACCAATGTGTGATCGCCAGATTTACTGCTGTTCCAGTATATGAACGATTAAATAAAAGAACTCTTTTAGTTAGAGAAGAGAGTGGAATTCTAGATGACGTAACGAGAATCAACGAGAATCAGCGAGAGTACAATAAAATCTATAATGAAGAATGTAATCATTGCTAGCAATACGCAATATGTACTCATTAGAGAGCACATTGACAGTCTCAGCTCTGCAGCCGGTAAAAATTAGCGTCCAAAACCAGACTCACATTTGTCACAATAGAAACAACTTGGCCAACAAATGCAACTTCTTTTTCGGTAAATCGTGATGAAATCCTCAACGTTATTGCAATGGTGTGAATCCCAAAGCAAGGGTCAGATCAACTGAAGCGGATTAAAATTAGAGCTATTTCACATTCTTCTTCCAGCGCGCGAGGCATAAGTTTCCTCGAGGCTATTGATAAATGCATATACACGTTGGCTTACTTACATGTAAATTAATACCAAATAAAGATCACGTTTCATTTTCATACAGATGGAACTCGCTAATTTGAACTTAGTCATTCGACTTCAAGCTCACTCTCCTTGAAATTGCCTTGTTTTCTTAAGTCTTTTAACTATCGACTATTTCCAACTCCCGCTATTTCGAGCCATCATTTGTGTAATTCACTTACCATTTTTCTCAATACGGCCATGTAAATGATCACTGCATATTCGTCAAATGTGTTGCCGTCCAGAATTCCCGACGAACTATCGATTGGAAATAAGAACTATTAAGGCCTATCCAAATGGGAAATGTTTGGCGACCAAACACCATCAAACATTGCTTGGTGACCAAACATTTCACCGTTTGGCCACCTTGTTTGGCGCTGTTTGATCGCGTTAAAATTTGGTCGTGTTTAAAAAAATTTGAAGGCCATCAAAAATATGATCAAACAACTTAAAACATTTCTTTTGTTCTCGTGTTTGATGGGCGATGTTTTGTTCGTTTGGACAGCCATATCAAACATGTTTGGCGAGCGCATGCGTCCCACGCTTGCTTGGCGGCGACCTCGGCGGCTTGTACCCATAGTTTGATCTGTGTTTGATCAAACATATTTAAACCGTTTGGCCACTGACTTCAACAATGTTTGATGATGTTTGGTCGCCAAGCATTTACCGTTTGGACAGGCCTTTAGAGCGTCAAGCGACATGGCTAAAAGGACGGACCTGGGTGGGGTTGAGTTATTTGTTTGCATGAATGTGGAAAATAAGAAAAAAACTCTAAGTTCCACAGCAGAAATTCCAAAGTTACTCTCACAGGCTCGACAAATACTTGTCTAGGACAGACAAGAAGAGGTATATTTATCGACCTAACACCGTGGTTCTCGAATACGACATAAGGCAACAAACATAACAGAGGAAGGGCATTGCTTATATGTACCAACAGGTAAGCTGACGCGAAGAGAATTCTTCCTTCAAAAGTAGCCTTTTTTCGCCACTGGTTACCGGTCCACACTCAAAAGCGTTCTTTCCCCGCGTTTTTCTTTTTTCGCTCTATTTATTTTTTGGTTTCTTTTCTTCTGTACTCAATGTATGCCCTCTTCAACTTGCACTTTCAACGAACAACTCGGCTGCTTAAATTTGTTTAATACTGTACCTTAGAATTTTGCTTGGAATTCCAAGACGTTCTTCGGCAACCTTCAAAACCTCGAGAAATGAGCCTTTGTCTACCTCCTTTACAAAAGAAATATTTACTTACATGAATACATGTACATGTGGCGGAGAGCACAAAGATTTCTTATTTATATAAAAAAGGTTACTTTGTGAACTTCCAATTGACTCTCTTCAGTTTTGTCTCAGACAGTGCATTCCAGGTGGTCACAGAGGAGTTGATGGGAGGGGAAGGGGGGGGGGGGTGGGCACAGAAGAAGTGAGGGTGGGGGGGGGGGGTGCAGACTGCTGAGAGCTAAGGTGGCAGAAATTCCATGGGAGGCCAGATGTCATCAATTTATCTCAAACCCCCTAGCAAGGCCCCACTAGGGTGTGTGTGGGTATCTCTCATGCCATTAACTTTTGGCCTCAACATTAACTTCCTATATCCTGTTAATTCCAATTGAAAATATTAACAATTTTCATTAACTTTCCCCCAAAATATCCTGTACCATTAATTTTTTATCTCAAGATCCCTATCTGACTAAATAGGTGAAACAAGGATTTCTTTTGACTTTAAAACAGAAAACTTTTCATAACCTGTAAATCAGTTGGGTTGATTCCGTCAGCTGGACAGTATTTAGTAATGAGCTTGGTCAGCAACACACCATCCTGCAGACTAAGAAAATGAAAAGAAATACATTTTGTACATGTACATTGTAGGTGTTAGTTAGCGTGTACACATAATTTCATTACTATACCACAAATAACAACAGTACGTCAGTTTGACACTTTGACAAAAGTTCCATTGCTCAAGAAAAAATGATCAGATTTTTTGGCTAATTTAAAGTAAAATCATACAATAAATTATTATCTACATGTACATGTATGCAACCTGTTCCTGGCAGTTGGTTAAGCAGGGGGCATCCTAAGGAACAGTGACTGAAACACAAACTCAGAAAGGCAAACGATTTTGGGGGAGCTCCTACATGTATGTATAAAAGAATTAAAGCCTGTTTGTTTTTTTAACCTCCATTTTGTCCTTTATTTCTTCAATTGTTATGCTGATACAGTGTACTTTCCGAATGCCTACCCTGGGTCCCAGAGTGCTTTTTTTTTTTAGCAGTATTAAGCCACTAATTGTGAGAAAACCTCTGCTACCCAGGGCTCTGAATGCCGGGAACACAGATCATGGAAAGTGTATTTATGCCTTGTTCCCATTTTATATATCTACTGTCAATCAAAACTAGTGTTGATCTGTATTTCAAGAAAAGTGTTACAGATCATTAATCTGCTGGAGCTATTTCATGTTCGAGGTCTCAACTCACAAATCCAGGAATGGTCCCCTTGGGTCAATTGCTGTGTTTGGTATCTCAGTACAGCACCATTCAAGAAGAAATCTCTTGCCTAGATTCACAGTCCTCTGATAAGCAGCGCGGTCTAACAATAATTAACAACAACAAAAGAACTCAACTGAGACAATTATGAGGTAATTGATTTCTTTACATATATAACACAAACCTGTGCACCCTGTATCTTGTACTATCCATATACATGTACATGTAACCCAGAGCGCAGGTAGCAGTGTACATTCTTACATAAAAGAAGATTAGCACAGAAAAAACTATAGCTCTTAAAATCTCACAGTGCAGAACATAATAATACGATTAATAATTGAAACAGGGGCTTTTCCAGGACCTAACACAAATGTTGTTTTACAACTGTGACTGTCACAATCTCACTTCATAATTTCCTGATGGTTTCTTTTTCACTCATGAATTACGTATTCTAAAGAAATTTGCCAACACATATACTAATTCAGTTATTATAAAAAACTCACTTGAACTGTGAATTTCAAAATGCAAGATGATCAGCCACAAGATATCCAAGATGGATTTGAGTTTCCCACTGGTAATGTCTAAAAAAAAAATTTACTAATTAACTGCTAGTTCCTGCATCTAACGTCCATAACCCTTCTTCACTGGCTCTAGCTGTTTGCAATAGGCCACATACATAATAAGGCAAGCAATGATTGCTTTCACTGACGCTTTCCAAATACCCCAGTATGCTGATATGTGAAAAGATAAGGCATGAGAAAAAAACATTTATTCACTTGATTGAAAGGGAAGAGGTATAAACTAAGGAATTGACTTACATTTTTCATCTTTCTACTTGATGAGGATAATTGAAGCCTCCTACAGTGCATCTACATAATTTTTATCATTGATTATACAGTTGAACCTGAATTTAGCGACACCATATTAAGTGGTCAGTTTTCAAGGTCCCAAAAATTACTTTGCACTTCCCTTAAGTACTGTAATTTTGACCTCTATTAAGTTGTCACCTCTATTCAGTTAATGTATATTTTAGAACTATTTTTTAGAGGACCCTCCTCAAAACCACCTTTAGGTGATTGGAGAACTCCTCTTAAAATATTAATTTATCATTATCATTATCATTATCATTATCATTATTCATTATTCATTATTTACAGTATATGACTACCTTCCACATGACAGCAGACATCAATTCCTTTTCCCTTCATGTAATCAATGACATATTGTACTGTCTGGGTCACCTGTGGCACATCTTGGATCTGTAATAGATAGGATTAGAACACAGGTCAAAGAAAATATGTACATGCTGTTTCTAATAAACAACTAGAATATGAGCTCAAGATTTCTATTGCACGATAGTTGACGAGAGCGCAGCCCGAGTCAACTATCATGCATAGAAATCAAGAGCAAATAATCTTAATTGTTTTAGTATAAATCTACTAGTTTTTAAAACTTTATCTAAATCCTCTTCACAGACACTTCGGAAATGCCAAGAAGTGGCTGTCATTTTGTTAACAAGGGCACGCTGCTTTGCTACACACTATCTATCACAGAATACAGTGAGTAGCGTAGCCAATCAGAGGACGGCATTCATGATAGAACACTAGTAGATAGAAACACAGAACTAGCACAAGCTGTTGATGTAATAAAGGCAAGAGTAAAGACAATAACATTTTGATAGTCAAAATAAACAAGGAGTTTCCTTTTTTTTCATCACAGAATTTTCTAAAAGAAATAGAAAACATGTTCTCCATGGTTCTATCAAGTCAGAGAAACACTCATTGAAGTTTGGATGAACTTGAAAAAGCTGTGGAAACACTCTCCTATCAGCTCATGTTCACACTGCATTTCCTGTTCTCCCAAACTTCCACTCATATTTCAACAACTCAATAGAAACAGAGTACATGGTTTCTACTTCTTAATTAAGCCTTTCTGTCTATTGCCTTTTGTTTGCTTTTGTTTTCTTTTAAATATTGTTTTAAGATTAAGAAATTTACAAAATTAAAAATTAAAAAATTAAATTAAAAAAAACATATAAAACGATGTAAAATAAAACTTAATTGATTTAACAAAATTATCAGTATGTGTAATTAACAATGCACTTCCTCATTTACCTGTTGGTGTTGAGTTATATCATGTCCTGTGGTTGACTTGATCAATTGACACAGTACAATGCCATCCTTTAAATCCTCAGCCAGATCACTAACTGTTCTTTTATCGCCAATTTGAGCTAAACAGCAATTGACCCATGCTTTATACACCTGTCAACAAGAAAAAAATTCCATAATTATCAGGCTACAAATCAATATACTATTACTTATATAGGCTACCAGTGAGTCTCCTTAACATGATTCTAGTACACATTATCTAAGGATATAACATACAGCACAGTGGCCTCAGGTTTAGTGCGCTCGCCTGTGGATTGAGAGGTCTGGCTTTGAGCCCTGGCTGGGGACACTGTGTTGTGTTCTTGGGCATTAGACACCTTACTCTGACAATGTCTCTCTCCACCCAGGCATATAAATGGGAACTGGCGAATTCAATGCTGGGGGTAACCCTACAGTAAGATGGACTAGCATCCCATCCAGGGGAGGGTAGAAATACTCGTAGTCGCTTCTGTTCATGCTACAGAAACCTGAGATAAGTGCTGGCCTGATGGGCCACTTGGCTGACAATTATGCAGACTTTACCTTTTTTACCATATTTGAGCTGGTTAAACTGACTAATTTCTCCAGCTTAGTGAGAGCTTATTGTTAACCAGCTAAAATAACATCAGAAAAGAAAACAAAGTCTCACGGGAAATTTTAAAGGTGCACTGGGCAAGAAAATCTTATGCCATTACAAGTACGGCATTCAAAGCCTTTTTGGGAGGTGCAATTGCCTAATTAATACAGTATTGAACTCAACAGTCTGATTTGATTCATAAATGCAAAAATTATTAACTTATGACTTTGTGACGAACTCGTCAATATCTCTGCCCCAAACCCACTCCACTGTCCCCCACCCCACTCCTGACCCTTCTCAGTTAGCTGTATTGTAAAAATGTTCTATTACAGAATTTATAAGGGAACCATTTTGGTTAATAAATACATAGTCTGCAGGGTGTTATAAAGTCGTGACTAAAATGAGAAAACTAATCAAAACAAATGAAAGTTCTAGAGATTAGGCTTAAATCTCGAAAGGTTTCGGGAAAATACAACACAGATGTAAAGCGATGCGAATGAGTGCAAAAATAGCCCAGTGGTAATCTTAAATATAAACAGACAGACGTTGTTAATACTTTAATGCTTTGGTTATTAATCATAAAGGTAGTCATATTTCTGTTTAATTTAAAGCTTAATCCTTTTTGCGGCACGTTTATAACTGAATAATCTGCCAGCCTTATTAAATTTTTTGAAGTACAGTATATATTATGGTCGTAATGGATTGATTTGCTTATAAGTATCAAATGATTATTTTGAATCCAGTGTCTACTCTAGAAGACACTGTGAACTAAAATTACGGCAACACGACGAAAAGATGAATCGGAACTAAAGTTCACTTAACAAAACAACGCACTAAGTAATTAATTTCGTCTATAGTTGCTTACATGATCAGCTGTAAGCGAGGCTATGAATTTTTCCTGTGCGTCGACTTTGACACATGTTTAGTAGTTATCGATCATTTAGGCTTCACTGGTCGTCTCAACAAACATTTTGAGCATTGAGACGAAATCGAAACTTCGTATAAACTTCAAAACGACACAGAGGAACCATACACAGTTTTGAGAAGCGTAAATGAGTTAGAAGGCTTACTGTTATAGATCGAGTCATTCTAGTTTAACACAGTGAGTTCCTAAGGAAAAAACGAACTTCTTACCTCAACTGGTGATCCAGATAACTTTCGACGTAAAGCCATCGCATTTCTTCACTCAAAAGGCGCGACGAGCAACGGTTGTTTTTTCAAACATCGCCGATGAAAAGTTCAAAATGCGTGCAGAAAACATCATCGGGCGGTTGCGGCAGAATCTACATTCGAAATCAACCCGCGAAGGTCATCAAAAAAATGCCGGGGTGAAAGATACGTTTCCTGTGCAGTGGAGTGGAGAGAATTTAGGCTCAAGTTTGCATCACAAAGTTTGAAAAATTCAAATGGGCGAACAAACTCGCTTCGGTTCGCCGGCCGTTTCACACGTCCGTCACGCTTCATTAAATAAACCTGTCAATAAACCAGACAGCGCTAACAAAGGATCACTGAACAAACAGAAACAGCAGGAAATTAATTCATAACCGGAGTGAAAAATACATACAGCTGCAGATAGCTGGTTGCTGTAAATGTCGGCCTAGCTAAGATATATTTGTGGACTCCTTTCTTTTGGCTTGGATGTTATATTGTACAAATATGGGGGCAATTGTAACTGTTGCGTGACAATTTGTCACGCAATTGTAGACCCGGAAATTTGGCCAAAATGTGAGGCTTTTCTGGAAGTGTTTTCTTCCAGTGTAGCTCCTAAAGACGTAGTTCAAAATGTCGTGACGAAGTTTTTGCTGACTCACCTGAAAGTTCGCAGGAGGAGGAATGAATATATCGCACACTTTATTTGAACTGCGGCTTGTTTTGAGAACGAGTTTCAAAAAGTCTCTGACGCGCTTTACTGAAAAGGTCACTAACAAAGAAGTCCCTCATATGCCATGCTACTAAAGCCCTTTGCTGCAACGCCAAAAAACTTGACCGCTGTTTCAGGTTATTTAGAATGCTACATGCATGTAAGAAAACTGTATGGAAACAAATGATGAATTCCACTAATTCGAAAGCCACGAGCTTTCTTCAGTCTTTAAGATCATGCAAAGAATCATCTTGTTTGTCTGACCCCGAAGAATAAGGGCTGTGTCCTAATATAGTTTTCAGCTTTGCGTTTTTTTTTTTCTTGGTTCATTATCAGTTCCAGCACCTGGTCACAGCTAATTATAATGATATTGTCTACAGTGACAGGTTCCGCTACTTCTATTTTGCTAGTCTTGCTACGGCGGTCCTTGAAATTTAAGTGTGTTTCCAGAAAATGCCCATTCCACTCAGCTCAGAAAACAGGATCGCACTTAAGTATTTGAAAGCTTTGACATACAACATCAAGCGATTATGGCCACACATGCGCATTAGAATAGCATCATTAGAATCAAAATGGGCGTGGCTTATTTAGTAAAACGAGAAGCTCTGGGTACAAGAAATTTGTCATAATCCCAAATTAGCATGAATTACTATTGCGGGCACGGAGCAGAGGGGTTGGGGGCCTGTTCGAGTTGCGCAGTGTTCAGCGGGATTAGAGTTTGAAATTAGTTGCCGTTAGCAGAGTGGTACATTCTACGGTCAGCAGCCTTCAGCGTGTACAACTGTAAATGTCGTTTTTCTTTTTCTTGGTATGCACGAATGTTTGTTTCCGACTGTTTATATTTCTGTAGTGCTGTCATGTTATTACATCGCTGTCACTTACTTACACTACGTTAAATTAGGATACCCTAAAAGGTCCTAAAACCCCAAGGGTGGCACCACTGTCTTGGTCGGGGGCACACATTCCCTTACTTTTTCCAGCTGCTAGTGTTTCGGGTTTTCGAGTCCGGCTTGGTGCACTTAGTTTTCGTATCTGTGTAACGTCTGCTAAAATCGGATAAATGGCACGGCGGCTCGGCTGTCCAACGCGCCCAATTTAATCACGATGTGTATCCGGATGGGTAGTGGAGGCAAAATATTCGTGGATCGAGACTTGTTTTATTGTTTGTTAGTTGCATGAACATTTGCACTAAATTAAACTTATGGAAAATAACAGTTTAATATATGGTTCTTTATGAGTATTCCTTAATTTTGAGATGGACTTTAAAATTAAAAAAAAAAAACAACAAACAAAAACAAACAAACATATATAGTTTTGCCAAAGAGTGTCCTCCCTGCTAGAATAAGATTATTCACCCTTGGCAAGTCAACTGGTAATAGACGAACAAAGACACCAAAAACTGACTGAACGTGCAGTAAAACCCGCGTGTATTAGAGAACCTAGTGGTTTAAGAACCTGCTGGCGGAAATTTGCTGTTTTAAAATCCAAAAATATAAGAACATGTTTGGCCATGTTTGTGGGAGGCGCGGTGGCCTCATGGTTAGTGCGCTCGTCTCCGGATCGAGCGGTCCGGGTTCGAGCCCTGGCCGGGGACATTGTGTTGTGTTCTTGGGCGACACTTTACTCTCACAGTGCCTCTCTCCACCCAGGTGTATAAATAGGTNTAGAAATACTCCTAGTCACTTCATGCTACAGAAACCGGGATAAGCTCCGGCCTGATGGGCCACTTGGCTTACATGCAGACTTTACCTTTTTTTTGGCCAAGCAAGTCAAGCAGGTTCTTATATGTGGGTTACGGTTAAACTGTACGAACTCTTGTTATAGAGGCAGCACGACACACTTTCTGTGTTCAGTTGTGTCAGGCTTATCGTAATACATAAGTGAATGAATGGTGTATATTTTAGGGATAAACCCAATTTTTTTTTCTGGTAATCAGCTGCTATATCTCCTTCCAAGAACGCGATCTGCTCCTTCATAGAAATTAAGAACGTGAACCTACTTAGCCTAAATTGCAAGTACGTACCCGAAAATATAATAACCTATTTTGCCAGATTTAAAAAAAAGGTGGGGTCTAACATGTGGGTTTTTACTGTATGATAAAACTGCAAGAGAATCTCTTAAAAGCTGTTGATATCTGCCGTTACGGCTTCGTTGGCAATACTTGGTATATAATCATGACATGTATAACATGTAACAAGAACTTTGATGGTATATTTAAAAGGCACAAATAAAAGACCCATTCCAAGAACGTGCAAAGAACTGTGAACTCGCGGCCCTTACTTGGTGTATAAGGCACAGCTGACGTAAAACAATAGAGAACAAAAGGACAAAAGAACGACGAAACAATAGGTTTGTGACGTATACTGTTTTCTCTGCACCAAGCAGGAGCCGATCTCGTCTGTGATATGAATTTTGTAATGGTTTAGTTGAAATTAAGCTATCAAATGAAAGATTAACGAAAAAACGTTAATGGTCAACGTTGCCATTTTATTGAATGAAAAGGAAGATTGATGTAGACAGCAACAAAAGTGAAATTCCAAAACAAAAATGCATTTTGAATGGCAGTAATATCACAGGGTTCCTCTCAGCTCCCCCCTCGGAATTGGAATTGGCAACTTAGAAAATGAGACTAAATTAGTCCACAGTACTGAAGATATTCAAAAGTATTAGTTTCTTACAAAACCTGCTGTGCTGTATTGCCGTGACAGTAAGAAACTTAGTCGATTATAAGCTTGAAGTTTACATAAAAGGTAAATTATCCCCTTACCACAAATGATAGTAGTCACACCCCGTGATGGGCATTCTGTAAAATAACATCCTCTAGCACTGCTAAACTTATATTTTGGATTCGTTTTGTTGTAATCACAGGCTCTCATTTCTATATTCGTTTCTTCCTTGAATGATCTATGCTCTTTGCTCCTGAGATTTCGGACGTAGGACTTTTTGACTAGCCTCTAATTCGCAGCTGTTACTTGGGTGACACTTCATGACGTTACAGGACATTCCTATATTGCGTGACAATTCAAATAATGGCTGGTGAGGAGATTTTTCTTCTCGAATTACGTGGTGCAAGTTGTCGCAGAATACTTCTTGGTGCACGTATCACATTCCACGCTACAGCACCACACAAACCTACACCGGCACTTAACCTGTTTAACTTGTTCGATTGTGAGATGTTTCAGTCCGCAAGAGTTACATAGCATCCGACATTTGGTTGTGGTGACGTCATCGCTACTACATATTCTTCCCAGCATTCCCGGAGATCCCACGGTGTCGTTACGTACGCAGTAGTCTGGGGAGGAGTCGAGGTAAACTAGTTTTTTCTCTTTCTTTTTCTCGCTTAGGTTACTTTGTTCTTTAAGCTTGTTTTTCACGAACGTCACTTGCAAGGCATTGCGGTACTTTAGCTTCAACTTTGTTCCAATGACTTCAAACGGCGCCAGTTGCCTCCAACAAGTTTTCAAATTACAACTTCCAGTCACTCCATGGCATTTACACTCTCTCTTCAGGCTTAATCGAACAACCTATTATGAAGGAAAGGAAGCCTTAATTGATTTGTTCTAGGTTAAATCTGTTCACCAGCAGGCACTCAAAGGAGTCCGGTTACTGTTACCGATATCCATTCATATCATTAGGCTAAATATGAGCCGAATACACTGTGGCCAGTGTAAAACTTAAATGACTCCCCCCCCCCCCCCCCCCGCCAAAAAAAAACACACCTGATTGGAGGATCCTCGAGGCTGAAAACCTTTAAACAAGAAATTATGCGTGTCATGCCAGATTTTATTGCCTTCAGTCTGGCTCTAAAATTACTACATTCACAAAAATATTTTCAGCCTAAAATTGGCAGGAANCCCCCCCCCCAAAAAAAGCCATAAGCGACCGACAACATGGCTCCAACCCCAAAATCTTTCAAGCCAAACCGCCTACCCGACACAATAACCTTGTTATCGCTCGTGTACAGACTATGATCTGCCTCAAATCCAAGAAGGGCATTTCTAAGCCATAATCTTAGTTCACGAAGAAACTGGAGACGAGATGGTTGGCGTGCATGGCGTCTTACGGCAATCAGCATAATTTTATCTCCCTAAGGTAAGTCTACAAAACAATGAGGAGGGGCAAGGTAAGATAAAGAGTAAGTCAGTTAATCCCCCTCATTATTATCCTCCTTACATTTATCCCTTCATTATTATTCCCCTTATTATTACACCCCCCCCCCTTGTTATAGCTGAGCCTTTTTCTTAAGGTAATCCCTCTCAGACTTTGGCGCAGTGTTGAGAGCGTCCACCTCCCACCAATGTGGCTTGGGTTCGATTCCGGCCTAGTTCCCTGAGTGGGTTGAGTTTGTTGTTGGTTCTCGCCTTGCTCCGTGGGTTTTTCTCCGGGTTCTCCTGTTTTCCTCCCTTCTCAAAAAGCAACATCTTCAAATTCTAATTGGACCAGGATAGAGGACCCGCATAAAAATGCTAACGCTGATGTGGCTTGCTCCCTGAATATTTTAAGAAATGAACTTTTTTTTTCAGATATTATACCCAGTACCCAGCGGATAAAGTTCTCGCGCAAGTTGCGCGGATGCATGTTTTTTTGGAGGATGAAAATTCGTGTAAAGCCTCTTGCATCGATTATTCTCAGACCCACCTGAGATTCCTGAAGCGAGAAGTGATTTAAAAATAACTAGAGAGGGATTGCTTAAAGAATGAAGTCTATATGATGAATTAATTCTCTAACATGTACCCTTCATCTTTTCCTGGGGGAGGGGGGGGAGGTCGTGTCAAGTGTAATCATTGTTACCTTTCTTCCTATTTCATTGTTGTGCAAGTTAAAAGCCGTCCGCGCATTGTACCCGTTTTCCAGGATGTTGATAAAGCGACTCGTCTCCTTCTCTCCAAACCGGATGTTATCTCCACATCCGCCCCACTGCCAGTCACCGTTTCCGCTTCGTTGTTTCTTCACGGCGCATCCACATCCGGGTATTTTACCCTGTCGGCACTGGAGCGTGATCTCGTGGATGATAGCCGCTGTACTAATAGCGTGGATAAACGCTGTCTCACGAGTGGCTGCGAGAAAATGGCGAGGCAGAGAAGTGTAAGGTTATCTTTTCTATGACAAATACTCTGTGCGGAAAGAATTAATTTTTTCACGTCTCACCCGCTTATCTGGACTTCAAAAGAAAATCTGTACTGCTTGCAACCTGTTGACTACTACAACGTTTGAAAATCAACAAAAGGACGTAAAAAATTCAAACTTTGATGTAGGATGCAATTGAATGACAATGTTAAATGGTTCAGTCGATCTAAGTATATTTTTTGCCAAGACACTTAATTTTTTTCTGACAATACCTATTGTAAAGTTTAAATCAATTTCTCGCTACCAAATAACTTAAAAATCAAAATTCAATTTTATAATAGACCTTTTCATGGTTTCTGACGCCATCTTGCTTGAGGGGCAAACAAGGCAGATATTACAATAAATGTATGGGAAAAATGGAGAATCTAATGCATAACAACTCATGTAAAATTCGAGTTCTGAAGTATTTATGAATTTAAAACTAAAAATGCGAGGCTAAAGACCATACAGATCACATTTGAGGGCAATCGCCTCGCTAGAAAAGCCACAATTAAGGTTTCCATTTTTCCATGTAAAACCGAGTCGCAATACGCGGGAAAATTTAGAGACATTTGTATGAAAAATTAAAAGAACAATTACTCGCCTAACAGTTAGTCTATGTTCTTCAAATGTGACTTTCGGTTGGGTGTCTGTTCCTTGCAGCTCATTGAATACTCAGAACCTCAATCACTCTCAAGTTGCCGGGCATCGAACTTTTAACTTTTCCGCAATTATTGCTGTGTAAATCCCTAAATATCCCGAAATTTTCTAAAAATATCTAGTTATCTCACAATTTTAAGCTTATCTAAAATTAAATCGAGACTACCTGTCTTTCTCGAGTGTCACCGGGCTCTACGTCATCTTCAATGGAAATTAAACTCACTGAAGCTTCACTTGGCTTCTCCGCCATGTTTAAAACTTACTTCCCTTGGAATGATGGGATACATTAGCAATAGGAAACACCGCTGCACAATTGGATTGCAGTGTAGCAGTCACCAATTAGTAAACAATGGGGCAAAATCATCATTTCATAGGAATTTTAAATAAAGCGTCAAAGAAAATAAAACAATTTTTTCTTCAGAATCGTCTAAAAATCCCCAATAAATCCCATCTTTTTTTCTGAAAATCTTAAAAAATCCGGCTTTTTGTTTCTAGGCCTAGTCAAGATGGCGTCAGAAACGGTGAAAAGGTCTATTTTAAGAAATCTTCACTCACCATATGGCAGAGTGGTTTTAACAAAGATTGGCAGTTCTTTAATCACGTGTTTGTTATCTAATGTGCAATTCCAGATCTCATTCCTGAAAAGTTTTCGACATTCCTCTAAAGCACGATGACCTCCGGCTTTCACAATGCTTGACAAAATCGGGTAAGTCTGGAAAGAAACCGAATAAAACAAACTTTTATAATATGGAAATGTATATTCAGTGCAAAATAAATAATGTCCAAGGAGAGACAGTTGTTACTTAATTATTTTCTAATATTTATAAATTTAAACCAGGATATTCGTTTTTGTTTTGTTTTGTTTTGTTTTTTTCAATAACTGAGAGATGTGAGTGTTGTTGTTAGACCAGAAGTCTAAAACATGGCATAAGGGAGGTTGAGCAAACCACCACGACGACGACAACGAGAACATCACCAAACAAAAGGTTTAATGAGCAGAACAATAGCTGTGCACGTGCGTTATAAATCTTTGTACATTTTTTTGCTGTCCTCGGCAAAACAACGTGAAATGACCAAGTTCTGCGCAGTCTGGGGAACGCGAACGACGACGGCTACTGCTTCGTATTTCCATTTGGAATATAGCTTGAGCACGTTTCTTCATCCACTGGCGTACTGAACAGATCTAGACACTTGCGAATTTCGCGGGTAAAATATAAATTCATTTTTGACTAGGCGTCGTCCTCGACGTCGCTGATGTCGTTGCTTAAGCTCCTATAATCCCGTCTAGTTGGTAATCTATATGGGCGGTGAAAATGTGTTGCTGATGGAGACTACAGATTCAAAGTGCGGAAAATCATTTACAGATTTCCTTTTTCCGCACTTTTCCCTTTCCTGCGGCGGAAATAAGGCTAGCTTACGAAAGGAGGATTGGCGCCAAAAATCTCAATAACGGATGAAGACCTAACCACACGCGTCAAGGGTCGCACTGCTAACAAACATTTCTTTTTATCTTAGAAGGCACCGCCCCCGACTCGACTCCTGCGTGAACTCAGGTATAAATAGCGTTGAAAGGGCTGTTTATAACCTTGCAGAATTGGCGATCAAGATGCCTCTTCGCTCTGGTTAGTACTGCTAGGCGATTCTGTCTCTTGAATGCGCTTTAAACTGAAACTAATCCCACATTAGCCACGCTTTTATGGAACAAGTCCCGTTATCTTAATCACTCAACGCAGATGAAAACAGGCTAAGAACATTTAGCACTTCAAAGAAAACCGGTGTTATCCAAGATTAGCTATTAGAAGGCTTAGGATGTTTTCGTCTTCTTTTCGGTTTCTATATTTAACTATTTCTTCTCTTCGGCTTCTTTTCGGCTTCTATATTTAACTTCTCCAAATATTACCGTCAACTGAACAGATAAAAAGTAAAAGAAACCTAGATCAGCGATTCAAACCAATTTAACTATTCCAAAATAATTTATTTTCACTTGTTTATTTTGTCCTAAACTTTGTTTTTACTTTGAGATGTCTTCATAAAGATTGTAACGCAAATTTAGGAGTACATACAACAGGGCAATTAAATTGAGGAGGTTTGATAATCCTGGATTTTTTTTTATAATCGCATATTAGTGTTGATCTGCTCAGTTCAGCCAACACGGCCTCCTGAAGTGATATGAAGGCAGTGCCGCCAAACATGTTTTCATATCAGTGTTGAGCGGACAGTTCACTGTATGAGGAAAAACTCTGAACGAGCAAGAATTCTTTGTGAAAGTTCCATATGTTCTTGAACATTGGGATGGGTGAGCGATTCTAAAGAATCAACAGCATCTGTACACAACACAAGACTGAATGCATGCCAAGTTGATTATCGAGATAAAGCACTGCCTTGGATCTAAAAAAATCATTTTGCAGAAAATTGAAAAGGATATATTTATGTGTATCATGGCTCAATACTTGCTACGTTCTTGCGCAGTCAGTAACAAATAGCTAGTACCACGTGAAAGTACTGCTCAATATCTTTCATTTGAATGGTCACACATTAGGGTTTCATCCACAGACTTAAAAATAAGAATCACCTTGTACAGCATAATAAACAGTACCACATGAAAGTGCTGCTCAATAGCTTTCATTTGAATGGTCACACACTAGGGTTTCGTCCACAGACTTAAAAATAAGAATCACCTTGCACAACATATTGTACGAGTAATATACAAAGCTATGTGAAAGTACTACTCAGTAGCTCTCATTTGAATGGTCACACACTTTATCTTCAGCCTGAGTAAAATGTTGAACCACCTTGTAAAACATGATCAACAGCACCACATAACATAGACGCGGTTATTCCAGCGGGAGGTCTGGGGCAAGCGTCAGAAAAGAGGCGTCGCAGGATCCTTAACACTCTCGCTTTTGGTGTTTTACACCTTGAAAATCGGAAACTACCGTCGTGCAGTTTGCACATAGCTGAGTTCTACATATTGTGGCTCTCAAATGAATTTTGTAAGATTTTATCTCATCCGCAGATTAAAACAGAGTTAGAACCGCATTGCATTACTCTGCCAGAATTTTACATGAATTTAATTAAACTTGGACGAGGAACAAATTCACCGGATCATCTGAATATCGGATCGAGGCAGATTATTGTCCTAATTCCTAAAGGCTCTTTACTTAATAACGTAATAAATTATTAGAGTGGCTTAGATTTTTTCAGTAAATTTCTAAATCTGTAAAATTGGAATGTCAAACATACCTTTTGTCGAAGAATGTTTTCTGGACTGGTCAACTTGATTCTGTGAACAAAAAAGTGTTCGTCAAGGGACCACACAAACTTCTAGAAACTAAATTTCTGATTTAGTTCTCCAAAAAGCCTTTTCTAAGGCGTATGTCGGCGGGTGTAGGGGTAGGGAGGGAATCGTTGGTTCTTTGGAAAAAAAAATCACTTGTGTCTAAATCAACACAAAACAATGGTGCGGTAAGTCGAAAAATCTAAATTCCCCAAAATTAAAAGCAGTTCTCATAAAAACCAAAATCAAAATAAAATTAAATGCTTACATTATGGAGCAAGTACAGTAACGATATAAATTATGAATGCAGTGGCAGCATATAATTAATGAGTTCATAGTTCATAATTAACGGGTGTGTGGCTTATCAACAGTTGGCAGGATTTTTACTTCCATTGTTGAGATTAGCAGATTATTCGAGGGGAGTTTACTCAGCAGGGAAGGTGGGGGACGGAGTAAATAGACAGCATATTTTACGCTGCATGCTTTCGAACTCTTCAAAATGAACGGGAAATTCAATAACATTGGCACAGTTCTAAATGTTCCAACAAAGGTTAACATGCTAAAATGAACGCAACCCTGATCAATCCACAACAATTTTTGAATCGTTTCGACAGATTACCCTAACACCAGCTGTTTCTCTAGTGGCATTGCAATGATTGTACTTTGTCCTGTGCATGTATCCACAACAAATATTGGATCTAACAAAGTAAACTGTTGGCGCGGAAGCACGCGCGGTGTTCATGTCGGGGCGGATTTCTTGCACAGTGGTAACTCCCTACTATTAGCGACTACTTGAAAACCTGACCGCAAGTTGCCATCCATCAAGGGGACAGAATGCGTAGAAGGCTGCCTTTCATCCAGGAGCGATGAGAAGTGACTGTATTCACAGGAGATTGCAATAGCGATGAAATTAGAAGTTCATTGTTCACAGTAGTTTATACTTACTCCGTTATGCTTTGTCCTAGCCGTGCGCTCACTAATGAGGCGACAAGAATCCGTAAATACGCTGTAGCCATCTTCATGTTCATCTGCTACTTTCAAGGGTTTTGCAATACTTGAGAATTTCAGGTCATCGGTGAATAACTCTATTGTATCCTTGTACACCCAAAGCCTATTAAGTTTAAAACAATTAGTTTAAGTCAAAAACAAAATATAATTTCCGGCGTAAACGTGGCACACATTAGCTGAAACTGTGAGCTTAGTTCAGATTTATGATTATATCACCCATTGGGGGAGGGATGGGGGAATACTCCCTCAGATAAGCAAGACAGGCATAAATTGTGTCAAAGAGTATGGTTTTCGAGCCATTTTGGTTTGAAACTGTAACTGTATGTAAGAAAACAAAATAAAAGAAAGTCCAAACCATCGATTTCAACACTTTGACCGAAAATAGGGAATGGTTTGTGCAATCTGTTCAAGAAATGGCTGTTTGATTTTTTGAAGGGACAAATTTTTAGAGCATCTTAAAGTATTTTATTACGCATTATTCTCCTTCTGTTTCTAAGTATAGTTTCACTATTAAACGTTGAGAATTTAGGTTCTAGTTAAATGTTTACGCAAACCTAGGCAGTTCATCATGAGTGGGGTGGGGACTGAATTAGGACCAATTAGTCTGAAATAGGAAAATGGCTTCAAGAAGTACGACCCACACCCCCACCCATATTTTCAGGAGATACGACACCTCCTTCCCCGCCCCCCCCCCCGCCCCCCATCCTCATGAGTTATATAAAACAGGCCGGAATGATTATTATACGGAAAGATTTTCATAAACATATCATTATTCACGGTAAGGCGTGGAGTGTAATGTTAATATCTCAAGCGGTTTATTTCGCCTTAAAACCCCTTTCGAAATATGTGGATTATTGCCCGCATGGGAAGGATGTAGACAAGATAACTCAGTACTATACTATAGTCCATGGACTTGCCAACTGAGCAAACAAGTTAATCGAGTTTAAATAACCGTTATTCCGAACGTTTGATTTGGATTTTATTAGGGAGCTTGATGGTGATCATTGTGCACCATGACAAGTGCTCACATTTTAAAGTTGTGTATGATTTATAAATTATAAGATGATTACTGTGAAATTCAGTAAACCGTAAATACCAGAAATATTTTATAGAACGCTATTGTGTAGCAAAAAAAAGCCAATTAGGCAAGAGAAAACTAAACCGCAAACAGCAGCTGTAATTTAATAGTTGTGTTGTAAGGATTTGCTCGCGTGTCGTGAACTTTATTGTGATTGGTCAGTACACAATTGACCTTTCAGAATCAAATCAAAGTGCTATTCTGAGCATTCTCGTCCTTATCGCTCTCATAAACAAGCAAAAATGAACACCAATTACAGACCCGAAGGTAAAGCGATACCCAGTGTCCGACCAATCTAAGACCCACTTTCAGACTAAAACACAACTCAAAAACCATACTATTGAGGGTTACCTACAGCCGGCATACAATTAGAATTACAAACTAATGATACGAGATGCGTAGGATCTGTGAGAAGGCTGGTCACTAGCCATGTCACAAAGCGAAGAGCCCTCAGAAGGAGAGAGGGGATTTAATAGGAATTGCACTGTATGATTACACCCCCCGGGGGTGCTCCTTTATATGGGCCATGTAGCAAGATCTCATGAGGAACTAGATAGGTACGTATGTGTGGCCCCAAAGGGTATTGTTTTAAACGGTTTTGGTATGAAAAAGGGTATGGATTTTTCGCCCAGGTCTAAAATAGGGTGTGGAAAATCACAGATTTTGGTCTGAAATAGGGAACAGGTTTTAAGGTTCGAACCGCACACCCCCACCAAAAACTTTGTCGACTATCCCCCCGGCATATATACTTGACAAGAGGTCTTCATGACTTCAAGAATAGGATTACTGAATTAAGGTGCGTGCTTTCAAAAGACGCAAAGTTGTGATGTGATGAAAAATTAACACTAATGTGCTATCCTGTTCAACTCGATGTTTCAAATCAGCCAAAGATAACTGTTAATTGCTGATTCATTTCAGAAAATCTGAAAATTGATGAACTCTTCCGCCGAATCCACAGATAATTTGGGATGGGAGAGTTTATATATGCCTTTTATTACCTTGTATTCTGTAACAGTTATGTGTGACTGGAATTTTCACTTAATCAGGGTTTTATCCGACAAAGTATTTCCGGGGAATAACTGAAAAACTGACCGGGTTAATTCCTGCAGAAATGTATCGGTGCCTAACACCGTTATCACGAAAGCATTTGCTGTAAACCCATGCTCAAAAACATCATTAATCATTGGAAATTATCTCTCGCAAGCATTCTGAGTTTTGACCAATCAGCAATCAGTTTGCTGACTGTGCAACAGTCTTTCCGAGGACTAGCGGCGCCTGGAAACTTGCCTGCTTTCTAGTTTAGATTTATTTCATTTCCTTAAATTTTTTGTAGTTGTTTTTGTCTCATCCCAGAAACTTTTACGGAAATGAACATACTACCACTCTGCAAGATTAGGGAGCTTAAGCAAAACACGGCGACAAACGGCAACGAGAACGTCACCAAAACAAAAGTTTAAAAGCGAGTAGAACAATAGCTGTGCACGTGCATTAAACATCCTTGTATATTTCGTAGCCGTACCCCGCAAAACAACAACTTGAAATGACCAGGTTCTGGATATTTTGCAAAACGCGAGCCACTATGACTAATTTTTCGTATTTTCTCTTGGTACTGATCGCTGGCGTTACATATTTAGTTTGAGCAAGTTTTTAGACCGATCGGCGGGTAAACAGATCTAGATTATCGCGAGATTCAGAGGTAAAATATAAATCCCTCTTTACTAGGCGTCTTCCGTGCTTGGCAACGGCGCCGTCATTGCTTAAGGTCCTCTATATCTTATTCTGGGATCACTTCAAAGCGACGTCTACTTTATTTCAGTTATTATATAACTGTAGTTTGCGACAAAAAAATTAAGTTAGTGAATCTGAAGATCTGACTTCTTATACAAACATCTACCCTCATATCGAAAGCAGATTTTCTCTCCAATATTGTGCCGAAGATGATCTCTGGTATTATTTACTTCTCCCTTACTAGGTTCCGCGATTTTACCGTTCATTGTAATGCGTATTGACCGATGCATTTCTGCTCATCGTGGACACAGGCTATGCCTTCCCGTTTCTTCTATCGTCCACACTGATTCGATCGAAAACTACCCATTGCGTTTTGTCCGTCCATAAGCATGCACTGGTGCTAGAGGGGTCCATTTTCAAACATCGATGCGCCTGAATCCTCTATTCCTTCTACTATTGGAAAAGCGAATTTGAAATATTTTGCCTCAGTGATTCAAGATAATTCTGTTTTTTTTTAATTTATTAAAAAATAGCAGGTATTTACAGGGTTTATTGAAATATTTAGAAACATATTTGTGCTATTGAGAAATTTTTTGAGAATCAGTCTGAAAAGACACTAAGACGATTCAACGTGATATCTGTGGAAAGGCCTAGTAAATATACGTGTTTTCCTGATTATTTTCGCATAAAACGATCTCGATTGTACAAGTTGTAGACGATGAAAAAACGCATTGACTAGAACGCATCGACAAAATCTTATTATAGTATGAATGAGACCAAGGTCGATCAGGACCGGGTCCGAGAGAACGAACAGGGAGAAAAACAACACACTGTGTAATGTTTCAGAGAAGGATCATAAGTCAGTTGAAAACAGGTGACATAGTTCATGTAATCCCTTGCTAAACGGTTTAGTGCTTTTGTTTTCTTTTTGTAATCCACTTACGTCAGTTGGGACCAACAATAACGTGATTAACAAAATAACCACTCAAACTCCTTTGGCCTAAAGACACTTGAAAACTGCTCTGACATGTCCGAGGAATTTGAGAGTTTCCTTGGTAAGCACAACCCCTTCCGAAGTACAATGTTCTACAAAATTAATGAGCGGGTAAGTCTACTAGGACTCAGTCTGTCAGTGCAGACGTGAAAAGACCCGAGCAGTAGTCTGACAGTTGTAGAAAAACATCATCAAATGGCTTAACGCTGTTCCTATGCATATTAGTGAAGATTTGTGTAAGCTTAAAGCAGGCGGGTTCCAGTTCTGTCACGCATCTTTCACGTTTTCCACGAAGGCTCTACGAACAACTTGCGTTGATGTAAGTGGCTTGTTTCAGTTAAGAGAAAACAAAGGTTTGAACTTCTTTTCTTGATTCAAGCTTCATCATTCAGAATACGAAATGGAAAATTAACCACTGCGATCTGATTGCTGACTTAAGCTAAAGGATTATGATCACGTGCTTCTACAGATCACGAAATGTGCAAGCATACCACAAGGGGGGGGGGGGGTCTTTTATGGAACTGTGGAGGGAGGGACAAGGAGAGTGTCTTTGTAGTACTGACCGTGAAAATCTGTAACGTGCGTTTAATTTCGAGCAAAGATCCCACCCAAATATAATCTTTATAAACATTAAGCATTTTAAGAGGTTGTATGTACGAGTGGTTTTGAGCAAGAGACTCTGATCTGATCTTACAGCCTCTTGTTTTGAGTGATTTGAAATCTGGCGGTTCCTTATGCAAATGAAAAACATAAAAGCAGAAACCGACACATCGTTAAACGCCAGCTGGATTTGAAATCAGTTTAACTCGGCCTCGCCAGCTGCGAATTTAATACGTCTTTTTTTAAACTTATTTAAAGTTCCCAATATGCACTGTAGCGCTAAGTATCCTAAGTCATTTTAAGTATAGTTTTAATATTTTAAACTGTCTATCATAATGGGACTTGGAAGGCTCCAATACGGCTCTAAATTTCACAGGAAACTTTTGGTAATTCCCAATTTGGGAAAACGGGGTTGTTTTAGCGTTTCCTTTGGTTTTTAGTGTGAATTTCCCACATAGGGAAAATGCAACAAAACCCATGTATGGGACAACAATATCTCAATTAAATCTCAGACATGGAATTTTTATGCCCCAATAATTACACTGTCATGTCCCTTATCAGGATCATACCCTTTGGCGCCACACTTACCTTTATTGCTTACATAACTGAGTACCCGAGCCCCCTCGGTTGACGGCGTTAGCTTGCCTGGGCTAGATATGTACTGGGCCACGTCTGTGAAAAGACGCCCCCCTCCCCCCCTCCCCCCCCTCCCCTTAACCTCAAGAACGGTGAACCTAATGTGACACTACCCAGAAGGACTCATCATTGACGGAATTAGATAGGATTGAAATTATCAAAATAGCTTAAAGAAAAACACCATACAATTGCAATAACAATCGATATAGAAAGAGCGATAAAAACAATAACGGACTGAAAAAAAATGAAGTAATAATAATGAACACGACAGTATTTGTAAGAGCCCGGCTTCCAAAATGATATATGTTAAATTACGGAGTAAATGTTATGGAATAACTTCATAACAGAGGGCCTGAAAAAGGCTGCTTAATTTTCGATTTAACTAAAACTTTTGGCCACGTCTAAGCTTCTACATCCAATTTGAAATTTGCGATCCCGGCTTAGAATTAATCATAGTTTCTCAGTTACTTGTTAGAAATTTGTGGTTTTCTGTTAACAGTTAAACCATTACCTCCTCCTCGACAAACAGTAAAATCTCATTGCGATAGTCATTCGTCATCCACCTCCTCCCGCCCTCTTGAAATCCCTAAGGAAAACTTTTAACCTCGTATCAGCAATACTTCTTTCTTTACACCTCCTAGTGGTACAAGTTAACTTTCAGGGAGGGGAGGGGGGCTATACTTTTTGTTTGGTCCGCGTGGTTTTTGGAAAACTTTGAATTGTTTGAGACTAGACTGTACAGTCACGTTTTAGTCATTAATTTTTGTTTTGAAAATAGAAAATAAAAATCACTGAAGAAGAGAAATTATGCCTTTTACCATGCCTGCGTGTACAGGTGTACCTAAAGAATGTCTACTGCAGAGTTCCTTATACTCAGAGGTTAGAGTTTATGTCTGCGGATAACTGAGAGGCTCTGAGAGGCTCAAAAAAAATAAATACAAAGTTTGCGTGTTGGGCAGGATTACCTTATATACAAAAGAAGGTCGACGACTGTTGCGGAAAGACTCTGTGTCCTGTGCTAGAAAGTTCATTCTGTCCATTGATCGACTGCGTCCGAATCCAGGCCAAGTTTAGCGGCTCATTCATTGGTAGCGAATTAATAGAATGTTCAGAACACTCAGCCGAAGCGTGTTAACATGTTATCGCTTTCATGATAGGAAAGCATGCGTTCGTATTTAGAAAGCATTAAGTAACACCTTCTGTGGTCAGAAAATCCGAAATAATTTGATTACAATGACTTAATGTTTTAGTTTTTATACACTGGCGCAGGTCATCTTCTACCTATGACCTCAAAAAAAAATATCCACGCTCACGTTTCTTCAAATTGAAGCTGTGCCTTCTCTTGTGCTTATAAGTCGCAATTTCTCTTTATACCTGACCATTCTCGTACTAATGCTGACACCGACAGAATTAAAACTCTCTAGAGAATTCTCCTTCCTTGCGTTCTCACGATACGTTCTCTTTATAATCCTCCGGACGATTACCTCGGTTGTTAGGAACTTGTAGAAAGCGTAACGAAAAAAATGGACTGATTGAACTTTCCAGTCAGTAAAATTTTCTCAGCTCACTTCTCACCATTCCTCCGATATACAGCACCCCTCTTAGATACATTAGCTCATTACAACTACCTACTTTATTCGTTACGCCGCGCATTTCGATTTAACATGTCATGACACACGCGATACACTAGTACACTTTTCAGTTTGGCCAAATGAAGGCCACCATATATAAATTTAACTACTGATTTGAATAAAAAAGAATTCTTACCTCTAAGCAGGTCTCAATCTTATCGAGAGCAGGAGATTATGAATCGGTTGTGAGCTTTGTCGATGCGCGCGAGTGATCGTCCTCCAAGCTTTGTTTTGTTTTATGGAATCTGCCTAGAATGAACTAGAGAACGTAATACCGCTTACCTTATGTCTGAACAAGCACACGAACCAGATTGGCTAAGTAGAAAAGCGCGCCAGATCTGATGTGTCGCAACAAAGGTAACCAGACTAGTGCAAAGGCAGTTTGCAAATTCATGGAGGTCTTTATATGGTTGTCAGTGAAATCTGTAACATAACTCTCAAATCTTATTGGTTCATAATACGATTGTGATAACCAAATAGTATTCTGTTACTCCAGTGCTTTCAGTAGCCTGTTCAAACTCAGATCAGCTGCCATTTGTATTTGATTCGCTGAGGTCCTTTCAGTATCATTGATAAGCTTTGGTATCTCGACTTAGTGTTGTTAGTTCGTTTGTTTACTTATTTGTCTGTTTGTTTGTTTGTTTTTTTGTTGTTCACTTCAGGTAGTGTGTGATGGACAATCTTCACTCATTAATGACAAGCTTCTCTGCCTTACACTTCAATAAATGTTGTCTTTGTAAATTTCTTTAACTCGAACTTATGTTATCACTTAAGTCATCTTCGGGTATCGTTTTAGCCAGCCCTACAAATTTAGAACGGATTAACTAGTCCTAATACGTTAAGTGCCCAAGCATGCGCAAGAAGATTACATTTCTGGCACGAAGCCGCCTCGTACTCATCATGAAGTTAGCGAAGTTATGAGCATTTCAGATTTAATCCAAGATACCATGCCGGAAGGAATTGTCGTTTAAGAGTTAATTGAAGGTCGAACTAAGTATAATATACAATACTGTGGCATTTAAACGAGTCTGAAAGGCCAGTGAGGCCAGAAAGTTATGATTTGAAACATCAAAGTTGCATACCGTGAATACTAGTGAAAGGACCCAGTAGCGAGGTGAAGTGACCTATTGCTGAGTGTGTTTGGCACCGGACTGTGAGGTTAGGCTCACATACTGGGCCGGTTAAATTCAGTCTTCTTGCATTGCTGGGCAAAACATCAAGTTTTCTCACACCGTGTCTCTACTGTAGTGCACAAATGGCTACTGACCTGCAAGTGCTTAACCAAATGACCCTTCCAGGGGTGGGTAAAAATAGTCTTCCGTGTATCGTATGAACTCTTGTTCTTAGGCCATCCTTGGTGAATTAAAAATCTAACACAAACAGCGGTGATAAAAGTTCACTCCAACGCAGTTCTGTTTAGATCATAAGAAGCTGGTGTGACCAAGAATTGCATGACTCCTTCCTATAGCTTAAAAAACTTGGGCTTGTCAGTGCCAGTTTACAACACTGTCTCCCTCAAGCATACCAGCAGACTTCTGCTCTGTTTGTAAATCAACGTCGATATCGCAGTAATACTGTGACAAATTAAACTTACTATCCATGCTTTATCTCAGTGCAATAAAATACCATATTTTAGGTCAGATGGACGAAAACAGAATGGCTTTGCCCTAAATGTTCGGACCCGATTGCGAGAAATCAAGACTACAGCGCCGGACAAACTTAGAGATCAGCAAAAGTATTGATTAACCTCCGTCAGGTCTGAAAATCTGTAGCCTAATGCGCAGGCGCTCTTTGGATCCCGCGCAAATCATTTTCTTGGGTGGGTGGGTAGAAAAGTTGGTGGGGAGGGGGAGGTAAGATTGCATGACAAGCATATGCTAACGAGAAGGTTTAATCAGGAAGTTTTCAAATATGTGATGAGGTGTTCTTTAAAAGTCAGATTACGCAGATGTTTTTTTTAATCTTCAATGGATGACTTCGCGATACCAAATTCCAGGTTGAGCTACGCAGAACTAGTGGCGAGCAAAGCTGTTAACTTGATTTTTGGGGTGACACGTGACTAACTGGAAGCCGCCAATACTTCAAATGATAAATGTAACTAAATAATGATTACTGAGATGCTGAATTGGACTAAATGAAATAAATCAGAAAGCATCACGGTCTCAAGTCGAATTACTCCGTAACAAAAAAAAGATCACGGCGCTCATCGTCTCTTGTGGCGCTTAAGTTAGTTCTTTCAATCCTGTACGAGCTTCACAGCTTCTCCAGGGAGCCCAAGGTGTTGCTTTGCGCTTAGTCGTCTGAAGAAGAATCGAGATAAACCAGTTTTTGTCAAGAGACAATGGTCTATCATGGTCTCTTGTTTATTGCTCTATATCTCGTTGAATACTCGTTTGCATACAAACTTTAGCTGGTGTGTATGGGTGCTCTTGATCTTGTCGGGATATGAACTTAGAAATTCTCTACATTTTTCTAATATTGGCCAATATTGTCAAGGCATTTTCCGTTCCAAAGATGACTCAACCAATAAATAGAGGATATTACACGGTGGCGAGAAGATATGAATTTTATGTTCTCGTGGCAAGAACATAAAATTCATATCTTCGAGCCAACGTGTAATGTT